TTTCAATTCCTGACAAATTCCAATTCCTTCACAGATTCCAATTCCCTCAGAAACATTCCAGCGAACCAAACATCACCTTAGAGGTAAGGAAATATATTAGATTTGAGAAATCTGTAATGTGGGTGCTAAAGTAGTGGATGTAGACTTTGGTTTAGAAAGGCAAATCACTCTAAATCTTTGTACAAAATTTTTTATTTTTTGGTTGCTTCCACAAATTTTTTAAAAGGTCAATTCACCCCTCTTAGCTTATTTCAGTTTATCATTTAAAGCCTAACAATTTGTATTTGAGTGGGTCACAATCGACGGTTGAACAACTATTGAAGATCCTAGAAACGCTCTATCAATTTCGTCTCAGCCGAGAAGATGACTTTGACTTCCAATTTATACTACCTCGATGACTCTCACTCGATCTCGAGGCCTCCTTACTTCAATGGTGTCAACTACTCCCATTGGAAGAATGGGATGAGTTTGTTCATTCAAGCCACTGATCTTGATGTTTAGGATGCAATTGTTGATGGTTCTCCTGACCCTCCAAGAAATTGGTCGAAGTAGACCAATGTAGACAAGAAGCTCGCCCAACTCAACGCTAAAGCCATGCACATTCTCTTTTGTGCACTTGGCCCAGACAAATATAACAGAGTATCTCCATGCTCTAATGCTAAGGATATATGGGATAAATTTGAGGTGGCCCATGAAGGAACAAGCCAAGTGAAGAAGTCCAAGATTGGCATTCTCACTCTTAACTACAAAAACTTCAAGTTGAAGCCCGATGAAGACATAAAGAAGATGTCTGATCGGTTCACTTCAATAATCAACGAGTTGAAGAAATTTGGGAAGGTCTATCCCAATGAAGAAGTAGTGAGAAAGATGTTTACCTTATGACCTACATCTTGGGAAGACAAAGCAACCACCATTGGAGAAGCCAAGGATTTGTAGTTGTACAACTTCGATGAGCTCATCGAATCATTACTCACTCGTGAGGTAAGACTCCAAAAGAAGAAAGAAGAACAAGAGAAGAACAAGAAAAACAAGGAGGTATGAATCACCTTCAAGTCAACCTATGAGAGTAATCAAGACACAAGGAAAAGAACAAGGATTTAGTACTTTTTATATTAATTTCAACCTCACATTTTAAAATTATTTTGATTTGGTCCATCATCAATGCATGTTGTTTAATTTATTTAAATATTTACTTGCAATTTCATATTTGTTCAATTTATTCCTTAATTTTATATTTTTCATAAAATTGATCCATGATTATTTATATTCTTAGTAATTTACTCTAAATCATATACAATTACAAATTTCAATTCAACGTTCGCGAAAGACAAAAATAATTAATCCAAAAATAAAAATTGACTCGATTTGAACTCAATCCGTATCTAATAAAGATCTGACCTGAATTTTATCTCCCAATGATGTCACTCGATCTGAACGAGATTCGCCTGAAGTCCATCCGAACTTGAATTAACCTGATCTTTATCTGCTTCGGACCTGAACTGACATATATCCGAACTTAAAGTAACCCGACCTAAACCCGAAACGTACATGGTGTCAAATCAACCTGAAAATGACCCGACCAGATTTGACCTGGACTCAACCTGGTCCGAGTTGACGCATCAAATTTACCTGACTTGACCTGTATCTGATTTTACTCGACCTGATAAGATCCGACTGAAACCTGAATGATTACCCGATTTTACATCCCTATACTATTTAGTAGAAATAATCTACCATGTTCAATGGTGAAGAATGGTTATATAGTTGCTCATACAGTACCATGGAATCATTATACTTAACATTACAATGTCTTGTATATTATGCATTTTCTACATCTCAATACTAGAATTGTTGCATTGCTTTATTCCTCTGATAAAATGATATTTGATCATGTACGGATACTTTTCCAAATGCAATAGAAATATTCATTGCATTATTAAGTTGGACTCGCCCTAGTCTTGGACATTGGCATTGTAAGTTATTAAGTGGAAGCCACCTCCTCTTACCCCACATCCCCAACATAAATGGTGGGGTGTTGAGTCTATCCTTCTTTAGGAGATTCACTGTGATAGGTATATGCTTTTTCCCTTTTTCTTCCCTTATGTCATGGACTTAGGTGGTCCATCTGCTCCCTTGAATGGACCATTGGTTCGCATTTGGTGCAATTTTGCTCTAGTGAATCACTGTAACCTTTTTCTCCTTTACATGAACTTAAAAAAGATTGTATGCAGATAACTTGCTTGGTAAACTCAGTTCATAGCTGCATTTTTTTGGTTTAAGTACACAAATGGTCCCTGATTATAGGGTGTTGTTTTGTTGAGTCTCCCGGCTATTAAAAGTTACAAAATGGTCTCCTGACAATATGACGTTGTTTTGTTGAGTCTCTGACTTTTAAGACTTATAAAATGGTCATCCAATTATTCATATATTCTAAACTCGTCATTTTTTATTAAAAATTTGGTGGTTGTCTAAGTCAGACATTAACTTGATGACTATAATATGATAAAATATGATCTCAAAATTGTTTGAGTTGCATTTTGTGGATCAACTCTCCATTTATATTATGTTGTCTAGCCTATTCTTGAAACATTATGTTGTCGAACTACTGCTTGGAAGCAACGATTGTGTCTATAGACATCATTAAAATATAATTTTATCATAGCTCAAATAACATGTTAATGTATAGTTCAGACAACCGTCAATTTTTTTATAAAAGGATGAATTTGGGGCATATGAATAATTAGGACTCAACAAAAAAAGTCCTATACTCGGGGAGTATTTTTTAACTTTTAATAGTCGAGAGACTTCAATAAAATAGTGTCTTATAACTAGAGGACCATTTGTGTACTTTATCCATTTTTTTTCTTTTTTTATGCCACTCCTAATATCTTGGTGAATTGTGTCTAGGCATCCTTTAGATTCACAACAACATATATGTATATCTATTTATGAGGGAAAGTGGCTGGTTTTCTGCTCGTGAAGATATGCTTCATAAATCCAATTAAATGTAAGAAAGAGACCTGTAAGAGCACACATTAAGAAAAGATAGAAAAGGAGGGAAACAAGGGGACTGGAATTAGACATGAACTGCATTATTGTTGATAAAGCATGAAACCCACCTTTTATTTTCAGGCTTTGTCTATTGTGTTCGAAGTCATAAAAGTTAAAGCTGCTTCTCACATGCTCCTCTCTTGCTTTTAGAGCTGTGTAATCGAAGTTTATGAGTAGTTCGATTTGATGGTTACCAAACAGTTCAGATACCATAGCTCACCATATCTTCTTCATCCTTATCATCTCAAACATAGTCCAAACATATTTCTCAAGATAAAAGAAACTACTGTTTTTTAGAGGATTCAAATTCGAACAGTTGCGTCTGTTGCAGGATGTGTATGCGTTGTCAATGATTAAAAAAAACTATAAATAGATATTACATTATAATCAGTCCAACTATAAAAAAATCGTCTCATAAAAAAGATTATAAATGGATATTTTTATGTTATGAACAACTTTTTTATTTTCCACATTGCAGTGTCTTTGCTTTCCTACAAGCTCTTGAAACCCATCACATGTCATGTGTTTGACATGAGCATGAGAAGTAATCAACAACATAGACAGTTCAGTTTCAAGTTACAATCATAAGTTTGATCTTCCATCTTGTTGCATGATGTTCTAAGCAGGTAAGTACTCAGGGATTTACTCCTAAAAAGTTTCCTTTTTTCTTTTCCCTCTATTTTTTATATAAACTAACTTTATTGACGTGTATGTTTTCTCAAACGTTGATAATTTTTTTTACCATTCATGTCCCATGTGTATCAAATACAGTTATAGAGAATGATCTTCAAACTTTGAATGACTTTGAAAATATATAAAAAAATTGAGGGTACCAGAGTCAGAGAAATCTGAAGCATAGTGCAACATGAACAAGTTGAAGAGCATGAATCAACAAAAATGAAATGGCAGATGGATTTATGAAATAAGAGTTGGTCCTTGGTACAGGATTGGGTGGCCGCTGTTGACTCTTCAAAACACAACCACATGGGATGTTGAATGTTGATGGAATCAAAGATTTTAGCGTGAAAAAGGTGACACCGTTGAAGGTTTTTTTATTATATGTGTTTAAATTTTGGTTTTAATCGAATTAATAATTCGAACCAAAGTTTTTACGATTAATCGATCTATTAATTTTAAATTCAGTCAATTAACGATTGATGATTTTTTTTTTTTTAATTATGACTATCGATTAATTAACTAAAATTATTAAATATTTAATATATTATATATATTACTTAGTCTTAAGAGTGTTTAAACCTCACTTTTAGCTAAATTAACAAATCAAATTAATTGAATTAACTGAAAATATTAAATATTAAATATATAATATGTATTGTTTATATGTTATTTATAAATTTTGATTAATTTAGTTAAATGATTGAATTAATCGAATTTTGTTTGGTTCGATTAAAAACTTTTGAAATAATTTTGGTTCGATTAACGATTAAAAAAATAATCAACTAGTATATATATAAAAGGAAAGCTGCCAGCAAGGAATGAATAAAGTTGTCATTAGCTTTAACATTTCTTGAAGCATAATTCCAAGTTTTTTCGGGTTATTGACCTACAAATTTAGACTGTCAAAAATCATAGCAGGAAAAAAAGCACTAATATATTGGCGGGGCTGCTTGACTACGATCAACATTTTTTGGGGTTTTCACCATCACTTTAGCCACCTATTGTTTTGGAAGATTAACTAAATAACCAAATTAATCTATAAGTATACTTTAAACTTCATAATTAACTCAAACACCTTTTATGTACAGTAAAAGTAAAATCATCAGTTTTCCGGGGGATTGGGGAAGCTGTAAAACCTCACATGGTTTATCATCATTAACATCACAGTTAAAAAGGAATCTTTACCTAATTATAATAATATTTTATTGTAATTGCCTCTTACTATTATATTTTGGTCTCCACTTTGAATAACCCAAGATTGTGATCCTTTTTTCCATGTACTATTATCTTCTTGAAACAGTTCTGTTTATGGCCTTTTAACTATTTTATTCCAAATAAACCCCTTTTTCTTCAAGTGCATGCCTTCTTTCCTGTCTTCACCTTTCCTGAAAGCTATGATTGCTATTTCCCATTCTCATATCATCTAGTTGATGGTTATTTATTCATTAAAATCTCATCTCTTTGGCCATCAAAACTTGAAAGAAAGCATTTATCCTCTTCACTGGTTCTTCTTGTTGATGCAGGTGGTTCAACTGCATGAATTTATAAAGAGTTAAACCGTTCTCAGTGTCTTTCTGGGTAGGCTTTTTTAACACTCCTCTTTATTGAATCTTTACTTTCATAATTGTTTTTTGGTTGAACCTTTATGGCATTGAAATGAGTAGGGCCTTTCTCTTTGTTTATGTTTAAGAAGCTCTTCTAAGTATTGACCTCCTATAGGAATTTGTTCATCTTTGCAGTTAAGACTAGTGAAAGATCATCTTCACCATGCCACCTACATATTTCCCTCTTCGCTGGGAAAGCACTGGTGATCAGTGGTGGTATGCATCTCCCATAGATTGGGCGGCGGCTAATGGCCACTATGACTTGGTCCGAGAGCTGCTTAGGATTGATGGAAATCACCTCATCAAGCTCACCTCTTTGAGGAGGATCCGGCGACTCGAGACCGTGTGGGACGATGAAGAACAGTTCGATGATGTTGCTAAATGTCGTTCACAAGTTGCTAGGAAGCTTTTTCTCGAGTGTGAATCGAAGAAAGGGAAGAACTCACTTATAAGAGCTGGCTATGGCGGATGGCTTATCTACACTGCAGCCTCAGCTGGAGACTTGGGGTTCGTCCAACAACTGCTTGAAAGGAACCCTCTTCTGGTTTTTGGAGAAGGGGAGTATTGTGTTACTGATGTGCTTTATGCTGCTGCAAGGGGTAAAAATTTAGAGGTTTTTACGCTTATGTATGATTTCGCCGTCTCACCGAGGTTTCTGACGGCCAAAGGCGATGGATTTGAGGAGCACATCGGGGAAATTCCTTCGGTTTATAAAAGGGAAATCACAAACAGAGCTGTCCATGCTGCTGCTAGAGGAGGAAATTTAAATGTTTTGAAGGAACTTCTTTGTGATTGTACTGATATTTTGGTTTACAGAGATAAGCGTGGCTCAACTATATTGCATGCTGCTGCTGGGAAAGGCAAAGTTGAGGTTAGGCCTCTAACTGAACATGCTTGAGCTTAAGTTTGATTTTCTTTTGTTTTACTAATGAAAAAATTGTTTCATTTGTATAGGTTGTTAAATATCTGGTTGCGTCTTTCCATATCGTAGACTCCATAGATGATCAAGGCAATACAGCTTTGCATGTTGCTGCCTACAGGGGTCAATCAGCTGTCGTTGAGGCTTTGATTCTTGCATCTCCTTCGTTGATCTCTGTAAAGAACAATGCTGGGGAAACATTTCTTCATTCGGCAGTGTCCGGTTTCCAGACTCAGGCATTCCGAAGAGCGGATCGGCAGGTTAATCTTATGAAGAAACTGGTACAAGCAAGGAATTTCAGCATGGAAGACATTGTCAATGCTAAAAGCAATGATGGGAGGACTGCTCTTCATATGGCCATCATTGGTAATGTTAATGCTGATCTAGTTGAACTCCTGATGTCTGCGAAATCAATTGATGTGAACATCCATGATGCGAATGGGATGACCCCACTTGATCTTCTGAAACAAAGGCCTCATTCGGCTTCGTCGGATATACTTATCCGGCATTTAATTTCGGCAGGTGGGATGTTTGGTTGTCAGGATTACATTGCAAGAAGAGCATTAGCTTCACACATAAAGATGCAAGGCCATGGAAGCAGTCCTGGAACATCTTTCAGGATATCCGACACCCAAATCTTCTTGTACACCGGCGTTGAGACGACATCAGATGCTAGTGATCTAGGCAGCGGAGGAAAGAGTCGATCATCATCGATGGATTTCGATTCAGCCGATGACAACAGGAAGTCATCCGTGGATAAAAAACCTGAAGGTTCCATAAACAAAGCAGCACAGAGATTGAAAAGTGTTCTCCATTGGCCACGGATGAAGGATCAAAAGCAGAAGAGATTAAAGAAAAGAATCGATGAAAGTTTCTCAGAAGAAACTCCAATCCCTCTCAGACAGAGGTTCTCGAAGTCATCGTCACTCCCAAACAACAAGAGGACACTTTCCGTGAGGAGCAATCCATCCAGTCCCATTGCGAAGAAGAAACTGGCTTCAGGGATAATCCATGGCGTTATGCAAGCCATGCCACAGATAACCATTCCTCGAAGATCTCGTTCGAGTTCGTTTTCAAAATCATCCACTCTATCTTCTCCAATGTCATTGGATAAACAAAAAGGGGTTTTCAATGAAGTTGATATTGCTGGACCGTCTTGTTTGAACCCGAGGATCGATGATGAAAAGCCAGATACAAACGAGAAACAAAGGCCGATAAAAAGGGGGTTAAGGAGTCAATATTTCTGCTTCGGAGGCTCACGGCTGGCTATTAAAACACCAACCAGCAGGCAAAGGCAGAATCCAGCCATGTTCTCAATGGGTTGAGTGCGTCGACTCTTGATGATCAACCACCTGAGACTATGTAAAAGGCAACTTACTGGCAGAGGTGAAAGGTTTAGTAATATTTGTAACTTGCTGCTGCCTGTTTGACATGTGTAGGTTATGTACTTAGATTAAAACAAATGTATGAGTTGTGTACTTTTCATGTCTCACTGTAAGTGACGTAGCCCAAAAACTAGTGTAATGTCCTAAGTAGTTTGTTTCTCTTTGATGTTCAGATTCTGTTTGACCAAAACCGATTGTACTTGGGAGTGTTCACAATGCAGGAGAAAGCTATGATCTTCATGGCTTTATTAGCTTTCATTGTTCTATTATGGCAATTGCGGAATCATCGTAACGAGTTTTATCATTCAGGAAACATAATTTCCCTCGATAAATGTGGGATGCAGCATTCAGTGATTTAAATAACAGTCCGATTTTGGAATAGTATCCGTTATATAACGGTAAAGGTAGAGGTGATTTTGGTGGTAAGGAATTATTATTATTTTTTGATGTTCTGGTTCAAGCACCAAGAATTTTAGATATCAAATGATTGAGAGTTATCTTTAAATAAATATCGTCTTCTACTTACAACCAATTTAATAAAAGAAATCCGTTATATAATGATAAATACATAGCCGAAACTGTTTTTTCACAATTGCAATACTCAAAATGATGCAAATATTACATTTTAATATAAAAGATCCAAATATTACATTTTAATATAAATTCTTAACACGCTAATATAATTAAAACTTATAAATATATAATTTTTCATTTATTAGTTCAACACATTAACAAAATAAAAGTATTAAAAATGTAAAACTATCATCCCTTCTTGGACATATAAAATTAGAATTTATTTTTACGTTTTTTTCATCTTTATTATCTAATTGTTTTACTTTATTTCAAAGTTTTAGGATTTATATATATATATATATATATATTTAAAGGGTCACTATAAGGGGTCACAATTATTATTGTGCTAGTAAAAGATTTCGGTAAAAATTTAACGTGGTTTTGATTCTAGAAAAATATTTTTATTTTTGTTTTTACTTTTAGAAAATATTTATCATTTTTAGTTTTTTTAAATCAGAAAAAATGTTTGATTAATATAAATGATAAAAAAATATTTGAAATCTAATTGTTTAAAATAAAAATAAATATATAAATAGTATTAAATAATTAAATTAAAATATTGTAACACCCTATACCCAATGTGTCAACAATAGGCGTAAAGTGTCACATTCAGGCCCAAGAGTGACCCAAAATCTATAATATATTTTTTCCGTTAATTTAAAACTTAAAAAAACACATTTCATATAAAATTACAAAATATTTGACAGCCGAGATAGTTCATATACAAAACACGGAGCTCCAACTCTTTCATGGTCCATAATATATATATATCATTTCAAAATAAAACCAGACATCATACTGAATACGTATATACAACCACAAGTAAACATGGAATGCATGCCCCTTAATAGAATTCAAAATTGTACTCTTGTAGCTAAGAAAGTTGGATTTCCTCAACGATGGTGCTCCATAGGACTTCTATCAACTATCGAAAATTTTAAGAAAGTAAATAACTAAAGAATGAGTTACAAGAGCCCAATAATATATGACTATTCAAAGAAACTCACACAACCATAATTTTAAGAATGTAAGCAAAATATGTTACACCAATATCATTCAAAAATTTCTAATTGTACTTAGAGTATCATATTCTCGAGTTTTCGTTAACCTTGTCAAACTTACTCGTCATCCCTCATTTACCTCCTTCCTCGATGATATAGCAGGTTTCTTACGAATGCATACCTGTGATTCTACAGATATACACATATAATATTTCACCACTCATGACTGGTAGGCAACATTCTATTAATTAGGTGTGTATCCTATATAATACATCACCATTTTCATATTTCGTTGTGTACCTCGTACAATACATCACATTGCTTGTAATTGGGTGTGTATCCCGTACAATAAATCACCACTTTCATATTTAGGTGTGTACCCCGTACAATGCATCACCTTACTTGTAATTGGGTGTGTATCCCATACAATACATCACCACTTTCATATTTAGGTGTGTACCCTGTACAATACATCACCACTTTCATATTTAGGTGTGTACCCTGTATAATACATCATCTTACTTTTAATTGGGTGTATATTCCGTGCAATACATCACCATTGTACCTATACCATAGAATGATTCCCATAATTTGAAATTTGGTTTCTAACCCTAAATTGTGGTTTTAACCTAAAAATCAGGTTTTAACCTCAAATTTTAGGTTTCCAACCTAAAAATTTGATTTCAACCTAGAAGTTAAGGTTTCCAACCTAAAAATCTTGTTTCAACCTTAAAATTTAGGTTTCCAACATAAAAATCTTGTTTCAATATGGAGCTCATAACAAACTTATACTGATGAGACTTAGCATATATAATCCTCATTCACGGCATCATAAATTATCATCTATATCAAAAACCCCAAAACATAGCACTAATCATATACAACATGCTTCCAACTCACTAATCTAAAAATTATGGTTTACATGATTACTCAAAGAATAGAAATACATTACCTAAACTTTGGTCACTAAAAGAAAGCTTCTTACTTTATTCTTCAAGCTTTCTCTTTCCCTTTAGTTTGAGAAGGGTATCCTTCTTCCCTCACTTCAAAATGGAATAATCAAATAATACACATATAAGAAGACTAAAAAATAATAAACAAAAAATATGCAATTTAACTTTTTTAAAGCTCTTCCACTCTTTCCCTTTTCATCCAAACCCATCAATCCCTAGATGGGTACTATCATCAAAACATGGAGATCTACTACTTAGAAAAAAACTTAAGTCACGAGGAGATTGATTCCTACCTTCAAAACGTGTTTTTGTGGCTATGTGGTTTCAAGTAAGAGAAATATGAGAAGACAGAAAAATAAAAGAGAGAAAGAAAAATGAAGATGATGATGATTCTCTCTATCTTCCCCCTATTCTTAAAAAACCCACAGTTACCCTATATTTCTAGAACTAAACTCTAGATTTTTCTTTACTAAAGGGAATCACAAAATAAATCCTTCCCACTTTGTTATACTTTCACTTTCATCATTCGAACCTATCATTTGGACCTTACATCCACTTATAACATACCCAATATCACTAAACACTTCACTATTTAATTTAATCAATTTACGTATTTGTTTGGGTCCACCCTATGTATCAACTTAAGGTTCTTAGGGCCATTATAATTCTCCCCCCACTAATGATAGTTTCATCCTTGAAATTTACCCGAGTTAAATAAATGTGGATACTGAAGTTTCATTACCTCTTCATTTTCCTAAGTAGCCTCTTCTACACCATGATTTGTCCATGAGACTTTCACCATTGGAATACACTTATTTTGTAACTCTTTGACTTCTTGAGCCAAAATACTTATAGGTTGTTCTTCATAACTCAAATTCGAGTTCACTTTGATATGCTCAGTATGAAATGGGAGGGGTTGGATCAATATCTCCTTCTATGAATACGTGGAAAATGTTGTGAATTCGCTATAACTCTAGGGGTAACGCCAAATGGTATGCCATTGGTCTTACTCTCTCTATGATCTCATAAGGTCCGATAAATCAAGGGCTCAGTTTACCTTAACGACCAAACCTCAATATATTTTTCTATGGAGACACTTTCAAAAATACATCATCACCCACTTCAAATTATATATCCTTTCATTTCAGACATGCTTATGACTTTTATTGATTAAATGTTGTTTTCAGTCGGCCTTGAATTATCTGAACTTTCTATTCATTTTCTTGAATCAAGTCTGTCCCGACTAACTTTCTTTCTCTCAACTCAGTCCAACACAATGGAGTCTGACACTTTCTCCCATACAATGCTTAATAACGAGCTATTTGGATGTTAGCTTGGTAACTATTATTGTAAGTAAATTCATCCAACGGTAATTTTTCCTCCTAGCTACCCTAAAAGTCAATTATACAACATCTGAGCATATCTTCCAATGTTTGAATAACATGCTTTGACTGTCCGTCGGTCTGAGGGTGGAACGCCATACTTAAATGTAACCGAGTACCCAAGGCCACTCTTTGAAAATCGTGAAGTAAACCATGAATCTCTATATGAAATAATTGAAGTTGGTACCATGTACAACCTCACAATCTCGACAATATACAATTGAGCTAATCTTTCCAGGGAAAAAGCCATTTGTACTAGTAGAAAGTGAGCAGATTTTGTTAGTCTATCCACAATAACACAAATTGTGTCATGCTTCCATCACATCATTGGTAATCTTGTTACAAAATCCATAGTGACCTTGTGCCATTTCCATTGTGAAATTTGGATCGGTTGTAGAAGGCTATAAGGTACTTGATGTTTAGCCTTGACCTGTTGACAAGTAAGGCACTTAACTACAAATTTAGATACTTTTCTCTTCAAATCAGGCTACCAATAGTATTATTTTAGCTCTTGGTCATCTTATTACTCCATAGATGAATGAAAATGATCTATTGTGGGCTTCTTGGAGGATATTTATTTTTAGCGACTCACTAGATTAAACACATAATCAACCATTAAAGTACAAGATTTCACCATTTCTCAACTCATACCCTGGGATTCGCCTTGTTTTACTTGGAGAACTTTAGCGACCAATTTCTCATTAGATTTTTGGGCTTATCTCACTTTTAGTGCTAAAGTAGGTTCGACCTTAGGCTCAATAATCAACCCACCATTATCAGAAATACATATTTTAGCAAACATTGCTCGTACCTCAGACATCAATTTTTGACTCAATGCATCTACCACCATATTAGCTTTCCTTGGGTGATAATTAATAACACAATCATAATCTTTAAACAACTCTTATCCATCTTCTTTGTCGTATATTTAATTCTTTCTAACTAATAAGATATTTCAATCTTTTATGATTACTATATATATAACACTTTACTCCAAACAAGTAGTGTCTCCATATTTTAAGGGAAAAAATTACCGCTGCCAACTCTTGGTCATGGGTGGGGTAATTTCATTCATGCGACTTAACTATCTTAATGCATAAGCAATCACTTTGCCTTCTTGCATAAGGACACACCCTAGGCTATTTAAGGATGCATCACTATAAAGTACAAAGTCATTTTATGACTGATTGTGTTAAGACCGATGCCTCAGTTAAAATTTTCTTCAATTGATCGATCCAACTGAAAGGTACCCCTGTTTGAAGT